TTTTATACTTGTACTAAAAAAGTATCACCACTATACGTTTTTGAAGATAAACGATGTTATAAAAGAATCCCTATCTTTTATAAGAATAAAGTACATTTCGTGGATACACTTTCACGAAGAACCTATTTCTGGGATACCGCAGTCCCATGTGGATCAGAAAACAGCCACAATGTAGTACAACTAAACCCTGATGAAAATAAATATTATCTTCTCACACCATATCCCACATTAATGCAATCACTCAAAAAATTTTCACCAGAAAGCATTCGCGCTATCGCTCGAAACCCAAATATAGACTTACAATCAATAGGAATCTATTCAAAATCAGATATTCAACATCACATTAGAACACAACAATTCCAAGAATTATTAACACAAATGGACACTATACAAAGACAATCAATAGACCAAAATTTACGCAAACTTGCAGAAACCGCAGGATTTGCCGATATCTACACACAAGACTATAGCGGATATTTTAAAGACATTAAAGATTATATATATCTAAACGGTGAAAAATACCGTCCCCAAGATATATCACCTATCAATATTTTTAGCTTTGTTACACTCAAGAATGAAATTCTTGATTTTCTAGGATGGCCCTACTACATCTTAGAAAAATTGACTATTTTATACGCAATGTTTAACTTTATTGGATTTCTTTTCTCACTCTTAAAAGGAATCTACAATACATGTGCTATACACACACAAGTAAACAGACAAGCAAGCGTAGCACGCATACTCTTTGCAGGATTTTTTGGAATCTTTTCTACATCTATAAACAAAATTCTTTTAGACGCACAAATAAAAGAATATAACACAAGAATAACAACACGACAAAATACATACGACGAAGAACATAACAATGTAGACATAACGCCAACGGCACCACAATTACCACCCCTACCAAATAACCATCCACTATCCCTAGTCCCACGAAATTTTCGAAATTTAGCCATCACACATAACCCAAATTTTCGACTCACCACATCACAAAGTCCCATTCAACATATAATGACACACCAGCCACAAGATGATAATACTTATGAACAAATTATTGAACAACCCCATACCACCGCTTTTCAGTCTCAAAATAATCATTTTTTTAGCCCACGATGAGCCGCCAACTTGGATCACTACACCGATCAAATTCCCACCCAACCAATCTTACCTCTACATTCCCAATAATACCACTTTTTGCTTTCCCGCCACCCGATTTTCCATCTAGCAATGTAACATCAGGCATGAATTCCGACACTAATTCACACATCTCAGTTTTATATTCCATCTCACAGCTAAATAACCCGAATATTGAAACCCCCGATGAATTTGCCGACTCAGAACCATCCCCATCCAATAATTTTCATAACCCTTCTAATTTTTCTCAACCCCCTTTTCAACCCATATTACCCAATAACCCTGACCCAATCACCCCCACACCCTCTTATGCTTCCCAAGTTACCCCAACCTATTCCTCATACCATTCTGACCGATCATCTCATTCTCCAGACACCCCCCGAATCTCCCCAGAGCTAGAAAATTTTATTACCCTCCAACAACAACCCTACCACCTAAACACCCCGACCATAAACCAAATCTCCTCCACTACAAATTCATCCAATCCCCCTACACCCTCTTCAATTTATACTGAATCATTAACACCATCATCCACATCCACTATATCTTCACTAAACACTAACAGAGCTTACCGCACTTTTAAAAGAAAATTCCCCAACCATCCTTTCCCAGCAAAACCAGGAACAGCCCGTGAATACATCAACCACCCCCAGCATACTAACACTAAAGAATTTTTAGCTATCACTTTACCCTCGTTTCCACAATACACCTTAAACACCCCTCACGACGCTAACGAAACACGCAACTTTGTAGATGAATACGTTTTAATGCCCACTCTCTCTTGGACCTCATACTATCATTTCACTAACCCTCTTTGCTTACCTTTATCCAGCACTTCCATCGATATAGACCGAAACAAAGACATGCTATATCAACTAACTACACCACTAACCGCTAGACAGTTTACTTACGTTGGATATAAAAAATCACTAAAAATACACACTGCACCTAGAGCTAATGAATATACACTAGAATACTACGATCACAACATCATTAGAGCTAACCAAGATCAATTCTTAGACGACGATCGCTTCGCTAATCCACAAATCACCGAGAAATTTTTCATCAAGACACCATATGTATTTACACTAAACATCTTCGACCGAAAGTTTGATCACATTATTTCAGAAGCACTAACAAACACACAAGCATACGAAAGTTTTAAAGAACGCTTCCAAATCTTTTCACTAACCTTTCATTTCCTTGCACCACACGAAAGAGATTTACACTGCTCGCACGATATTATGTTGCGAACTAAACAAACACATACATACAGTTACTATCGTTTCATCCAAAATCACTTTGACCTCCACACACCCTCTAGACAACCACACCATCGTTTTCAATTCATCAATTCAAAATACACTTCACCGTATTTCCTAAATTTCACATATTGTATTAAAGACACTAACCTCCATGGTATTCTTCGTAATTATGACCCCATAACCCAAATGTACATTTTCTGCCCCATCACCAAGACCTTCAACGCCGAAGAATCCCGACCCTTCCTTATCCCGCACGAGTTTGTACAGCCTATAGAAATCCCAATTTTAGAATTCATCCACAACACGAAATTTAACCACAAATTATATAACTTAATCCAAAACACACCTTATGAGTTTGCAGTAGGCACTGAAGAACTAACCATTATTAAGGCACTTCAATTGCTTTGGCCACTACTTCAGACTAAAAATATCATCCGCATTCTAGCTAAACTACTAACAACTTCAGAACTAATTCACGACATCTTCCCCCACGGTTTTTTCCCCGACGACTAACAGGTAAGTATGAATTAAATGAATATAACTAACTAATTGAAATATTAAAAAACTCACCATACTTTATTCATGTTTTCTTTAGATTTTTAGCCTTCATCCTAGACCATCTGAAAAATTCACAAAAGAAAAATAAAAAATAGCAAACTTCTTCAAAACTGTTTAAAACCCTATTAAACTTTTGCACCAACAATTAAATAAATATAATACCAATGCAGTAAATTAATTTATAAATTTTCCCCCAACAGCAGTAAATCTAATTATGATGAAAATTTGTATCTTAAAATTCCCCCATAACTAGCAGTAAATTTCCAAATTCTATGCAGTAAATTAATAAAATGCGATTGCAGTACTAACCTTTTGATATTTTTATTCATTTGCACAGAAATTCTATCCACACTCGCACAGCTCGCCCACGAAGAATTGTTTAAAATAATGAATTTCAGTTTCAAGTTTTCACACTCAATAACTCTAACACACGATAACAAGTTTCAAACTTTCCTTTAACCCGGTTGGAAAGGAATCATATACTAAACAAAACTAACCAACGCAGCTTACTAAATACCACAAATCATAGAATAACAGCATGACTAAGAAAAGGAAACCAACGGTACCCAAACCGGATTAACCCAGTTTAAAACTGGATAATTTATTCTTTTGAAGACTATTATAAAGTCTTAGAAAGAAATAATAAAACACAAAAAAGTCGAAAGACAAACCCATACCACAAACAATTTGATTTTTGAAAAAAGGACATAACCAACAAGACATAAATAAAACCACAACAAACCCAACATAAAACATTGTCACATAACAGGACCCCTAACAAACACCGCATGAAATCATACTCCCACTCCTGGCCTAACCCACCAGGAAAGGACGTCCTGAGCATGCTCTATAGCCGGCCTAACCCACCGCGCTACATCCACGCTTTGTGACCACACCTTTATTTTTAATAAGAGCTACTCAAGGGTGAGTAACTCTTCAAAATAACCGAACTAAAACAAAAAGCTTTTGTGAAAACAACTAACTAAAATCATGATTAAAAAATATTAAACTAATAAAAGTTTTATAAAATGTAAAATCACATGATGCAATATATAGATCAGAATACAACACCAAGGACGAACATCAAAAGACAAGACGACCTCACTACACTCGAGAGAGAATAACCAACTACAATCGATATGCCGCTCACAATCACAACTCAAAGGATTTAGAGTACGACTTGACTTCGCAGAAAAGGACTTCATTGAACTAGACCAATGACCACCTCGATGTTCAAGTATACGTACAGATCCGAGTAACCAGGCATCCCCTCCACGCACAATCTCCACGCCATTCCCAAGCTAGATCAGACACAAAAAGAAGTTCTCCCCGAAGAACAGAAAAACCTGACATAGCCAACCATTCTGAAATCAGAATTGATTTTGTTGCAAAGACTCAGTCGTTGTCACAAGAAGAAGCGGAAGAAAATTATGATGTTCGCCAAATACCAACGTCCATCATCCACCCTTGAATTACAGAAGAACTGTTCTAAAAAACTCTGTAAAACCCGGATGGGTGGAACCTGATCTAAACTATATTTTATGATTGGATAAATTAAATGTTTTACCAATGTAAAGTATTTAATATTAACCAATCACGATCCATCTAACTAACAACCCACTTATTTGTAAGTGCTGAAGTTACTTGTAATTTCAGCACCAGAGAGATTTGAATTTAACTTAGAAATTAGTTGGACTCTCCCGAGCACTTCAGCAGCCGCAGTAAACCAGTATACCCTAGATCTATTGAGCCTAGCAGAGACTAGTTAAACAACCTGAGACTAGATAGTATAAGAGTAAGATTAGGATCGGTATTAGACTAAGAAGTTGCACGAATCTATCCGGCCGAAAATAAGATAGCGTGACGAGCAGACGGTGTACCCTATCCGAAATTACTCTATGAGTTACACTTCGGTCCTAACTCATTAAGTTGATTTTAGAAGTGCGCTCGAAATATTGGAATAAATTTGTTGGTTTTTTAGACCGAGAAATAATGGCTTAACACCGGAGTGCTAGACCGTCAAGAAAATTAGTACTCGAATATTGAATTGGATACAAAAAGTAAAAATGCGAACAATTTAAATACAGAATGAAACTGATTGAAAACAATTTCAGTCAGTCGTATTTCCTTCGTCTCTAGATCTCGTTGTGTTCGTTCGCACGACTACCCGCGCTCTTCGGACTCTTCGGGCTTCCCGAACTGGGGTTATCGCTCGTACTAGCAAGACTACGTTTCACGAAGCTGTCGTTGTCGTTTACACTTCTTAGCCGTCGCGTTTCGGCTATTTGGGGAATCTGCCACCAGAGCAAGAAACACAAGATAAGTGCAGCTATTACTTGGCACACACCGCAGACCAAAAAAGGATATTTAGGGTCCACCTCGTACAGTGCAGTGCCACCGGAATAACCAATTGTGCGTAGCGTGAATATGAAAACAGTCGAAATCGAGATGAACCGACGAGCGATTCGGGGACTTGGCACGAGTAGATTAAACCCTGGCATTTGCGACGAAGTTCGCATCGCGTTGAACAACTCGCACACGAATATCACACATGACCATCCTATGGGGTAATTGATATAAGGCAACAACGCTATTACACCAATTAGCGCATTTCCAAAAATCACACAAGTAAAGTTGTCAATTCTGATCAGGGAAACTAAACAAAATACTGGAATGACTAGGATCTGGGGCAGAACAATTGTCAACGCTGCTTCTTTAGGAGTGAATCCCCAAGTATCTTTCAAGTATTTCGTTCCACAGAGAATTATAACCGCCAAACTCATTCCGGCAACTTCCGAGAAAAACAGGTAGAGCCAGGCAGCCAAACTCGCCTTTGAAATATCCTTCCATAAGAGGTGAAGTTTACCGGACGAGTCCATCTGTCGTGTTTGGGAAATACTGGTTAATATTGACGCCACAGATGTGACACTCAAGTGTCGGCTTCGTTTGTCCGAGTGGCGTCGGATCTCCTCGGGAGGCCATTCTCGCTCTTCCTCTTCGTCGTCGGCGTCGTTTTGACTCGCATGTCGGCTAAATGGCTCGTCGTCTAAGGCCGAGTAGGATGTGTTTAGTCTGGTGTCTGATGCGTAGATGAGAAGATCTCCCTCGTTCTCAAGCTGAAGTTAAATTCAATATCTTGACGAGCATTTTTTTTTTCAATTTCTTACTCCTTTCTACTTTTCTTTGTCGTGGTTGAAATTGTTCGTACAAGCTCTCCCAGACACTTTTTTATATAAATCTTTTTATTTAAAAAAATGGAAAAAAAATGGCCAAAAAACCTTTTTAGCCATTTGGTGGGGTTTTTACCTATCAAAATGCCGTTTTTTTTGTTGCGCGCTCTGATCCTTCATCAAATTTATTACAAATTGAGTGCACTAAAATTAGATCTCGTCAATGGGCTAACCCTACAAGTGGTGAGGGTGTTGAGTCTTAGAGGGAGAGGGCGGTTTTTGAATCAGCTTACATCGCTCTGTGCCGCGTGTTCCTCGATCCTCCTGGCAGCTCTTCTAGCCGCCCGTTTGCTCCTCTCCTTCATCTTGGTGTGGGTGAACATGCCCACTGTTGTCAGAGTCACAAATGCATACGCACCACAGATCCACACGACCAGCCCATCCCACCTGCAACAAAACCAAAGGCTAAGGGGGTCAGTGTTTAAGTTCTGAAAAAAGTACACCCGAAAGTTTTTTTCAGCATTTTTACCCTTCAATGAAACATTTTTGCGAGATATTTTCAACGATTGATGTTTAAAACATTTAAAATACTTCATTATTTGACTTCTGAGGAAGGATTAAGAATGTGGAAACTCTGTAACCTTCAGTCTAGATGAGTTGTACAATTTGTAAAAACAGTTTTAGATGGTTTTGTTATTCTTTTCGTAGCACTTTTTTTCCAGTTTTCCTCTTTGATTTTTTTCCAATTTAGTAAAGTTTATTTTAAAAAAATTTATGTTTTAAACTGCAATACATCGTGAGCCCAATTAAAAGCCCAATGTAAAATGAACTAACCCGTAGTGTTGGTAGAAGACAGTGGTGGCGAGTAGTTCCACTGCATGCACTGCACTCTTGCCCACAGTGAAGCAGTTGGAGAGGAACTTGGTGTCGTCCTCCCGCTTGGTGATGGTGAGAGCACGCGCCACTGTACTCCCACAGCTGAACGTCAACAACACCATACACACCCCGATCCACGTACCTACAAGCGATAAACGACAACAGAGAGCTCTTCTTATTCATCTTGATTCTTGTAATAAATTTGAATCTTAAGCCCATTATGCATCATTTTTGAGTTAACCCAACCCAGAACTGGCGGATTTTTGATTTGAATTCATCAGGTTAGTTTTTAGTCGGCAAAACCACTGAAATTTCATTTGAGCAGGTTAATTTTGAAAACGTGAAGTTGTTCTAACCAATCTACTTTGCTCTAACCAATCAACACTTCAGGAAGAGAGCAATTTTACAACCTACGAAATCTTCAGCTGTAAAGTCTTAAGCGAATAATGGAAACTTGCATGGCTATTCTCGTACTCAAATAGGGATATGAAATTCTATTTCACCTTGTGATTGGGGAGATAGGAATCGGTAGACTTCTGAGAGTGCAGTCATGAGGACTGCCTTCACCCCCAGAACCATCATGATCTCGTAGTTGGAGGAGGGGAAGACAAAGATGAGGAAGGAGGAGAGGATCTTGGCCGCAGACATGAACCCACTTATTAAGGACAGGTTGGGGAAGTTCTGAAACACATCACAAACATCTTTTTCATCGTGCTTTATGTATGGTATCCTAAAAAACATTCGATCTCTAATAAATTAATTCACGCGCGGAAACGAACAGGAGCTTCACTCATTCAAGCAAAAGCTGATTTTTATGATTCAGAACCAAGATCTTGGGAATCGGATTGTGAGAAGTCAGTCACCAAAAATGGGTATCTCAAAATAGTACAAAGGGGGAGACCCTTTGGGTAGGCAGGGGGCCGAATTCCTGAGGGAAAGGGGTGTCCGCCCCCCCCCCCCCCCTTAAATCCGCTGGTGTGAGAAGTAACAGGCACTTACAAGGAACTCTGACTTCATGTAGGGTAGGGTAATGACAGCGACATTGGCAGTGGAGGTGCTGATCATAGTGTAGAGCACTATCAGAGCCCCAATCACTATAGTCTCCACATTGCCACTCCTCAACACACCATCCCCACTACCACCGCCACCGCCAACAGTCATTCTTTGTTCTGATTGGCTGACTGCTCTTTTATGTCTCAAATCAGATTAATAATCTTGTTTTTGATTGGTTAAATCAAGTGAACACCTTTAAGAGAATCTTGCTGATTTGATTGGTTGATACTGATTTGCAACTGCTGATTGGCTGAAGTGCAAAAAGTTAAGTGATTTTCGTTTCGGTTTCTCAACTGCTGATTGGCTGAAGTGCAAAAAGTTAAGTGATTTTCGTTTCGGTTTCTCAACTGCTGATTGGCTGAAGTGCAAAAAGTTAAGTGATTTTCGTTTCGTTTTCTCTATGTTGATTGGTTGACGCTGATTTCCTGCATCACGCGCCTTTTCTGATTGGTTGATGAATACTGACTGGATAAGGATACAACACACCTGATGAACAATTTAGTTACTTCAAGCCCAAGATGTTTCGAAGTAATTTTAATAGTACGCGTACTCAGTTGGAACAACTTGGGAGTTATTTTCTAAACTTCAACTGTATCTTAAATATTTAATTGATCTAATTGCAGATAGTATTTGGCACTACCAAGAGAATAAAGAGTAATAGAAATTAACTATTAGGATTTAATTATATTAAGTTGAGGTTAAGTTACTCTAAACGGTTACTCTGAATGGTTTATTTTAAACGAAAATTGACTGGAGCCCATTTTTTTAATGGTGAAATGAGTACGTCAAATTTTCGAGAAAAAAAAGAAAGAAGAATATGAAATCCCATCAAGGACTTCTATTTAATTAAATGACCTAAAACCAGAACGAGACAGAGAGTTCAAGGTCAAATGCTAAAAACTTTACCATTATAGAGAGTTGTAAAAAGTTCGGACAGACAGAATTAATTAAAAAGAGCAATCGTACCATTTTGACAGATTTTTGCATGCAATTTCTTTTTTCATACAACCTTGAGACACAAAATCGGACTGAAAAATTAGATTTTGCATGCAAAAAATTTCCAAAATAGGTCAATTGCTCTTTTTAATTAATTTTGTCTGTCCGAACTTTTTGCTACTAATTATACATTGCACACAAAACACGTGAGTGACAAAAAAAATCTTTCAAAAGGAGGTGAAGCTAACGTTCTCGTCAGACGACCTTGAATATTAAAATTAGTGTGAATTTCTTGAAAAAAAGTGGAATTAAGTTTGGTTGGAGCGTCAGTCAATTGGCTTTATATGAAAGGTCTCGAAATTTTTTTACCGCCATGAAAAAATATTACCATTTGGAACCTGATCTAAACTACATTTTATGATTGGATAATTTAGATATTTTACCAATGTAAAGTATTTAATATTAACCAATCATGATCCATCTAACTAACAACCCACTTATTTGTAAGTGCTGAAGTTACTTGTAATTTCAGCACCAGAGAGATTTGAATTTAACTTAGAAGTTAGTTGGACTCTCCCGAGCACTTCAGCAGCCGCAATAAACCAGTATACCCTAGATCTATTGAGCCTAGCAGAGACTAGTTAAACAACCTGAGACTAGATAGTATAAGAGTAAGATTAGGATCGGTATTAGACTAAGAAGTTGCACGAATCTATCCGGCCGAAAATAAGATAGCGTGACGAGCAGACGGTGTACCCTATCCGAAATTACTCTATGAGTTAACCGACTCGGTCCTAACTCATCTGGTGCGACCATAAGTCTCGAACAAGACCTTAATAGCTTAGCATTAACCAAAATAGATTAGAAATTAGACAAAAACATTTACAAAATGTTATACGACAATAATTTAATCGAAATGTCTCTACGACTCAATAGATCAGAGCCAATATTCCGAACCATAACAGAACTACCCGGAATTGGAAGAAGACCTCGAACCAGAGACGACATACGACAAAGTAGAAACTTGCCATATAGCTATATGATAGTTAGGCAAAAACCAGAACAAACTTTTATATTTAGAATACTACTGGCAATGAATTTAGATTTTCATTTGCAAACATAAAATCTTGAAGTTAATCTTCAAAATCATTTCAGGCGCTAAACAAAATTATTAATATACAATAACGATTGATAAAAAGATCTAAGATCGTTTTCCTAAAACTCTGCAGTAATATACAAAACATGTTTGAAAAATATTTATTGAAAAATAAAAATAAAAATTAGTAGCATGACAATAAATGGTTAGTAATCATAAATCATCCTGTTGTTCCAGCTCCATCATCTAAAACATAACAGCAATCATAAACCCACTAATATCATCAAAACACTAAATCTTTCCTTTACACACATTTAAAAATTTATTAAAACTTAAATTCACTTAATTTTAAAACCAGATCATCAAGGCTTATCCTTGGATCTTAAATCATTTTCTACTTAATTAAATTTCAAATTTGATCATCAAGGCTTATCCTTGGATCAAACAGAACAACTTTGTTCTCCCCCACCCACTTAATTAGTGTCTAACGACCTCAAACGTCGATTCACTACCCAACCCTTTCTAAAGACCTAAGACTAATAGAAATTTTTAAAACAAAACTAATCATTCAAATTAGGATAAACAGTGAAGAACTTCGGTTATTCATCCTTCACTTGACCCCCCCTCTTACCAGACCCAGGATAAATCTTAGACTTAGTAAGTTTAAAATAGTATCTAACGAACTACTCGCGTTCTAATTATACCTGAACCTTGTGGATCGATTTACTATTCTCCAACCCTTGAACACAATCACTACCCCTAAGTAAGATTAAGTAAGTTAACACCTTAACTTATACTAGCCACGAGAAAGTAAAAAATCATTCTTCGGAATCGATATACTTTTCTCTCCAACCCTGAACAAATAGACCCAGGTTAAGCTAACCAAAAAATCGTAAGAACTAACAGTTTAGGAAAATAGAAATCATTTAACAACCTTTTGCATCCGTCATCCTAAACCTTATGTCATTTAAAAACCTAGGAAATAAACAAACAATCGTTTTACACAATTGTGAAATAGATAACAAAAAATACGACCTTGTAATCACACCTCATACACAAACAGTTGGATACATTCGAACAAAACGACAAACAATAAAAAGAAAAATAATAACGAAACAAAGACAAATAACACGAAAAAGATTTTCAAAAAACCGAAACGCATTTTCAGAATCAGAAACCAACAGTTTAGACGAACTTTACAAACTAAAAGAATCAATAGATAAAAATTGCCCACTTCACGATCAATTATATTTCTCTGACTCAGAAACAACTTCAAATTCATCACAAAGAGGAAAAAGAAGAATAAAAAAGCAGTACAAACACAAACCAGTACATTTATACAATTGGAATCAACCAATTCGACACATTAATAATTACATATTAACAGTAATCGAACGAAAAAATGAGCTCAACGCACACTCCAGGTGAAGAAACTCCAGATGATGATGAAATCTTTCCTTTTATAGTAGACGCAGATACTGATAGAGGACAACACATATTTTGTCAAAATTTACTCGTAAATTTATTTGAACCCGGAATTAGTCCATGTAAAACAGAGTTCCCAGATGTAAAAATCAAAAGACAAATCATAGACCACTACTTAAAAGATATATGCAACATAACACAACAGTATGGAATCTACTCCATAGAATTCACCTCACCAAACCATAATAATAGAAAATATACAATTCAAACAGACGATCTTGATTTAGAATTTTCAAAAGTTTTTTCAGAATATATAAAAAGCATCCAATATCATAACTCACAAAGAGCAAACTCCATATTCACCAATGAAGTTTTCGCAATAATATATAGTTATATTTCGATATTAGAAAACGAAATCCCAATAACAAATGTCTCACCGACAGAAACATCTAAACATTTGAAAGTACGACATGAAATCACACTACTCTCTAGTTATTTAAACATCATTAAAGAAAATTTCACGAAAGACGACGTTTCACAACATACAAAACACGATCTACAAAAAATTTTGGCATGGTTCATAATAGATTATTTCACACACAATATTGATTTAATTGCACAAGCAAGAAAAAATTTTAGACCCCAAAACTCGAACGATGATACCGCTATCACAGAACAATCAGATTATGTTTGGGACCCCGAATGGTCTCATCCAGCATTTATAAGCTTCCCACAATCAATCTCAAGTCAAGCAATAAGTACGATATCTTACATAAGAGATTATGTAAAAGTAATACCATTAACCATTGATGCAACACCATTAAACTATAATACATTTTTGCCTGATACACAAAATAATAGTTTAAACTCTACAGTTATACACAATGAAAACCTCAATGGAACTAGGAATCTTACTCAACAAGATATCCAGACACCATCACACTTCATAAATGAAGAAATTGTACACACAACAACTACACAACAAAGTATTTCACCAATACGCCCAAATTTAACAACACCAAGAAATACAAATCCTTCACAAACACAGGTAACCTTACAATCAACCGTTAAACCTTCGGTTGCCCCTAAATATTCACATATGGATTACCAAACATACAGACCCATGACAATACCATCAAAAACACGCAAAACATTCACTAGAAACAACTTTACAGACCATAATTATAATTATACACATCCATCAAAAACATATAATCAACCACAAAGGAATTTTAACCAATATACAAGATCTCGAAATTGGGATAACCCAATGACCCAACCTAATTCAATAAATTTCCAAACAAATCCTCCACAGGATCACAGTGAAAATTACCCATTTTTTCAACAAAATAAAAATAAAAAACAGACATCTTATCAAATGGATTATTTATCCTCAGATGATGATTTCTTACAACCAGATATATTTGCACCAAATACTCAAGAATATCGTAGACAAGGAATACAGAAAACACGTATAAATCATAGAAATTTTTCTCCACAACCAATAGATGCACAACATCAACAACCAATTCAACAACAAAATCTAATTAATACACAATCTTTTCAACCAATTCAACAACAAAATCCAATGACTGCACACTCGTATCAAGCATCACAAATGCAAAATGAAATACCACTCCTATATTATCTCCAACAACATGAAATAACAAGAAACCAACTTTCAAATTTTTCTCAAATGCCAAATGCAGCAGAATCATTACAAATGACAATGAATCCATACCTTATGGGTGGATCATCAATAACATCAAACAAACCTTTAATGGTTTTCACAGGAACAGACCCTGAATACTCTGTAGAAGATTATTTAAATGCAGTAACAGCAAACCTGATTTTAAATATTGGACCTGAACCAATTAATACGCCACTACATCAAAACTGGATACATCGACGCACAGCGTTAATACAAACAACCTTAGATGGCGCAGCCCAAAAATGGTTTTCAGTACTACCTCTAGAAATAAAATCAAACTGGAAAAGGTTTACACAGGAATTTTCAAAAATGTTTGAC